GGGGTGGGGTGGGGTGGGGTGGGGTGGGGTGGGGCATGTTAACGTTCGGTTGCACTTGCTGCATGAAGTTGATGCTACGTGTGGGAATGGGGTGGGGTGGGGTGCGGTGGGGCATGTTAACGTTCGGTTGCACTTGCTGCATGAAGTTGATGCTGTGTTCAGTTGCTGCGCCAAAGCTTGACCTATGCCACACCGGCTCAGTTCTTGCGCCTCTTGGAGGAGCTCTTGTGAAGACTGAAAAAGTCGCAACTTTTTCCGACGGCCCAATTAGTTACGTAGTTTCATTTTCGAAATGCCTCAGCGAAACTCTCATTTCAAGCAAATCTGCTTGGAATTGACCATGATTCCACTGATGAAACGTTGGGCACATCATTTCTAATGGAATTACGCACATTTCGACATGATTAACCCACGACCATCATTGATTTACACCACGGCCGTCTATCCGCCGTGTACCTAGTTTTCCAAGAGAAAGGGTCACTGGGTAGTTCAAAAAGTGGGAAAGGGATCCCTGTGTTTGGTGGTGAGATTGGGAACACCGATGTAAGGCCTATTTGAAGTGGTGGCCTCTGACTCCAATGATCCATGTAATGTAGACTCTTGTTTGTTTCGTGTCAAGAAAAGGCGCTTGTAAAACCTCTGAAAAAAAAACTCTGCAAAAAAGGCATCCTGGCTGCTTTCTCGGCAGGAAATAGGGCCGGGCGGCGGTTTTTTCCAAGGCAAGGAAGGGGAGCTTAACAGCAATGCTAAAGCACTCAACCATCCTCCTCTCCCTTAAGCCACAAAAATAAGGATGTAGATACTGCATTTGGGTGGTTCCTCCTTTTGGGCATTGCTATTCTTAAAGCCAGTCCAATCACAGGATCACAGGACTGATGACATGGTGAACAAAAAACCTGAAGAAAAAAAGAAAGTCTCCCCAGAGAAAGATCAACATCTTCAAGCTAGAATCACCCCATGTAGGTGTTGAAGGCAAGTACCAGCGGTCCAAAAGAAAGCGTAGTCTTGGCTTCCGCACCTCCTCTGCCTGGCAGACTCTGAGAGGTGCCACAAACATCCACGGTTTGCGTGTTTGGTCGTCCGGTTGAGAAGCGTCAACCATTGGGTCAACCATTCGGCTTTCAACGGTCGCGTCCTCCGCGTCGCGCGTGGTCCCCTTCGGTGCCCATCGGGTCGCGTCGGTACCTTCGACCAGCGGATGTTCCCCACAAAGACCTTGAGATTCTCCTGTTGAGCGGGATTGGCTATGAAGAATGAGGCCAGCGAGGTCAAGGCAGGCATGCTCCTTGGGTGGGGTAGAAAAGCAAAGATCCCTTTTGGCATCTCAATCGCTGGAGGTGGATCCACCCTCAAAGCTTCCAGGAACTGCTCCAGGAGCGGTGGAAAACGACCAGCTCGGATTCGTCATGTAGCATCTTCCAGCGTCATCTGCCCCCGGGATGGGGCAAAAAGTCCAGGGAAGAAAGTGCTGGTGCAAACGAGCAAAGTCTGTGAAACTGGTGCACTGGCCAGCGGACCAGGGCAAGGACCAGGGGACCAAAGGAGGACCAATGGAGGACCAAAGGACCAGGGGACCAAAGGACTAGGACTACGGGACCAAACGGAAGGACCAGTGGGACGTATTCAGCATTATTTTTGTTCATCCTGTTAATCCTGTTCTTATTGTTTCATTGATCATGTTCTTTTTCTTGTCTATCCTGTGCTTTTTCCTTTTGATCTAGATGCCGCCTGTAGGCCCTTGCAGGCCCTTGCAGGCCCTGTTTCCGTGCCAGGCTCTACAAAAAGGGCTTCATCCTACAGTTCACCTGACCAAACCAATGATAGCCTGAGAGGGAATGGACGTGAACAGATTTGGTTTAGGGGCGGGGCGCCTCAAGGTCTTCAAGCCTTGAAATTCCGAGAAACGATGTCTAATTCATGGACAGGATTCCTGAAAAGATGAACTAGTTCTTGGGTTTTCTGAAAACTTGCTCTGGGGATGTATTCTTCATAGCTCTGCGAAAACCACTTGTTATCAGAGGTCAACCGGTCAAGAATGCTCCGCAGAAGGATCGACCTGGGCCTCCTGGCGCCGACCTGGGTCTCCTCTGCTGACACCTAAGGCAGTGCGGTCGCCATGAGTGCGGCGCGCGCCACGCGCCACGTGCGGGCCAGGAGGGTCTTGTCCCACCGAGAGTCGGCGAAAAGACACGATGCGACATATATATATATTACAATATATATGTGAGACTGGTTAAGGTAAGCTGGCCGTGGTTACGTCGACCTGGTCGTGGTGAAATGCTAGTTTCTATATATATATATATACAGTACATCAACCGGCACCCTTCTGTGGCGGAGCGTCCAGGACTGAAGGTGAACCCAACATGGAGCAAACACGAGAAACATGGGCGCTAGGCACTTGTTTTTAGTAGCTTCTTGTTACTACCAGTAAGGCACCTGTTACTACCAGTAAGGCACTTGTTACTTTAAAAGCAGCTCGCGACTGACTTGGCGATGTGATGTTTGAGGCCAGACAAAGCCCCCGATGACTCTGGGCGTCCAGTAGCACGGAGCGAGAGTCTTCAATGGCACGAGACATCTCAAGGCGAGATCCCTCAAAGGAGATGTCTTTCAAGGTGCAATAGTTTCACTATGCCACACATATTCCTCTCCGAGTTTCTAGAATGGAAGTGGAAATGGTCTTGCAAGGGGCCTAGGTTCCCCTTCCATTTCAGGTAGTGTAAAGAAAAACTTAGCTCCAACCAAGGCAAAATCACCATGTCAATTGTGGGGAGGGAGGGTCTGGCTTATTGCAGCTTCTAATTCACTGCGAGAGCAGTCCCACAACCTATTAAGCAGTTCGAGCAGTGTTCCGCAGTTGCCTAATTATGTCAAAATTGAATGAACAAAGAAAAAAGAAACTTGCTTCTCCAGTGCTTCTCTGGGTCGGCTGCATCTTCTTCTTGTTCCTCCTCTTCCTCCTCCGAATCTTCAGCCTCCACCACGCAGCGCCACGCACGTCCACCGCGCAGCAGTGCCATGGTTTCAATCGGCTTGTCAGGCGAAACAAAGGACATCGCTGTAAGTGAATGGCTGACAATCCCTGGTAAAGTTATATGTGTATGTAAACTTCAAGTTTTACTGTACCAAAGCAAACTCGGTGAAGATTATGAAACATTGACTATTCTTCTCATGTTCCTATTGTCAAGCAGGGTGTCGCAGGCTTGATCAATCACCCACCTGGCCCTACAACCGGAAAAAGCCGCGTGGGTTTAAAATACCGATGCGCCTTTCGAGCCTTGACTTTGGGCTTCATTTCGGCCTGGCACATCGAGGGCTTTGCTGGCTGGATGTGCACATCAGACGGTGAAGGTTCACGTCGGCACGTCGGCACGGTGTTTCCCCAGCGAGCTGTCCGCGTCTTGCCCTGCCAAGAGGCGCGTTTCAGACGTGCCATGTGTCCAAGAGTCCAACGATCCAATTTACATGTGAGAGAAAGGACGTTTTGTCGTGATAGACCATAGAATAGACCAGTCACCCATAGAAATCGATGGACATCCTTGCCACCCTTTGGGCCCCTGGGGTTGAACGTCTTCAGAGCCCAGCGCTCCTTGCTCAGCGCTTTCTTCTTCAGCTTCTTCCTCACCTCGGATTTCGGTCTTCGGATTGTGCAGAACTGTTGGCCCCGCTTGGGCTTGGGATGGCTTTTTGTTTACTGATTTCTCCTGTTGGCGAAACTGATGCTGCTTTGGTAGTGCTGCTTTGTTTAATAATATTGTATCTTATATATAACTATATAATATGTGTATATATATATATCAAATACTCCTCCATCTCTACCTCCGTAGAGAGAATGGACCCATCTGCCACATCCATCTGCAGACGGGGGACCATCGTGGCTTGCACGGCAAGCCAAAAAGCACGCTCAAGTGAAGGGTTGAAAAGGTGCTGAAGTCCACTTCTTGCTGTAAAATGCTCTTTTGCCGGAATGTCCCCTTTGCAAAGGTGGGCAGGCACAAAAGGCTCTTAAAGTGCCCTGCTGTGCCAGCATTTTGAAGACTGGTCATTCTTTCTTGGTCGTCGCTGCTTACTGTAAGTCAACAGAAGATGTCTTGTCTCGGAGAGGTTGCAGTCATTGGCTGATCTAGACATTCTATCTCGCTTCATCGTGTGCTTCGATTGGACCCGCGACGGTTTCGATGCAAACACCACACCGTCCCGTCTGCTTTTTCCTCGGTTTCGTCGGTCGTCGGACGGTTTCTTTGTTTCGAGTCTCAGCTGTGCATGGGGTGCCTGTTTTGCCGTCAGTGAAAGCTTCGAGCAGCTTCGGGTGGGGGAGCCACAAATCACTCTTTGAGGTTTGTCATATTCTGTATCAAGGTCTGTCCTGAGAGTCCTTAAGCCAACGGCCATCCGAGCTGCGTGGTTCTTGAGAAGCGGAAGCAAGGAAACGTAATGCGAATATATTAAATATTATATATATATATTGTATTACTGTATATATTCCGCTCCCAATGCTTTGATTCACCGTGCATCACAACATCTCACAACTGCATGTAAAAGACGGCTGACTGCCTTCAGCAAACTGAAAACTATATATATATGTATTATGTCCGCCAGTTGAATCATGTTGACATTCTGAGACCATCAGATTCGCACACTCCCACAATGAGTAACCCATGATGTACATTACCGAAGTTCAATCTGTGTTTGAAGGGTGTCGGCACCGAAACACGAGACATCTTAAGGGGCACCCGGGTACCCCGAAACGCCAATCACTGCTGGTGGCTGTGTCTACGATCAAAAGGCCAGTTTTGATGTGTGGTGTTCTCAAAAAGATCTCCATCGGACTCTATCGCCCGTTGCTTCAAAGACACCCACATAGGCTCTAAGAATACAGGAACCTCAAGGATTCTTGTAGCTACATTGTAGCTTCCCTCCATCCATCTCCTAAACAAGGATATATATACATACATATATATTTGGATGATCCTGGTCATCCCTCGAAGTGGCTTTCGGAGACAAGAACCTCTTTTGCGCCGCCCAAGCATTGCTGTGGAGGAGGCTCTCACTATGCTGTTTGGCAGCCCTGGCCTGACAGCCCACTTTCTTGCAATGTTGTTCTGGCTGCTGTACCCAACCATTTGAGGGAATCACTCATATCATATCAAACCAAAGGAAACAGGTTCAAATACAGGTTTCTGAATCATTGGCAAGTGCGTGACACTGCCAAGTGATGATGATGATGATGATGATGATGATGATGATGATGTCATTTGAGAGTCTTTCTACTCGTTCCGTCCTCTCAATCAGGGCAGGATTGATTTCATACGCAAGCAAACGTGAGCCTCCCAAAAACAGGTATTTTCCACCAAATGCCAAGCATTGAAAGAAATAACATAAAGTGAAGAAATAAAAACTCCTTGTTGACAGACTGCCATCGTCCACAAAGGTTCATACCTTTACGAGCTGATTTCATCGCCTCGGCCAGGTCCGGGACCTTCTCCCAGGGCCATGCCTAGTGCTGGGCTGGGAAGCAGTTTTGGCCCTGGTAAGCGTAGGATAGGCGAAAACGATGTGAAAACCATGTCTGATGAGTAGGGTGTGCTTCGTGATAAACTGTTCTTTGCCTGAAGATGGTCCACCGTCCAGTAGAATAGAAAAGGCTCTTTACGGCTCTTTCCCAAGAATTTGTCTCAGGTGTAATTCAAACATGACACATGGCTGTCTTAGAAGCCCTTCCAAGTCATCGGCTGGCACGAACACAAACATCCCCTGAGACTGCTCAAAACATTGATTTGTTGCGTCAGAAACCCTTGATGAGTGTCCCCTTTCAGAACTCTCTTTGTGCAAACAACCTGTGAATTCCATTGAATTCCCATGGCAAACCCGAAAAAAACGAGCAGAAAACTCCTGAGACCGGCTCCGATCTGAAAAACTCATCGGGTGTTGTGGGGTGTTACCGCTGTGGGGTGTTCAGTGACCTGGTCCACTGGGAGTGCACCACAAAGGGAGAAGGAAACGTCTCCATACATGTCCACCTTACACTCCCTGAAACAATCATGGAACTGGAACAGTTCGGCCCGACCAATTGTCCTCTACGGACAGGGGGGTTCTGCTCAGCTTCCATGATTAGTTTGAGGGAGGGTAAGTGGAGGTTTTGGCTTACTACGAAGTGTTTTTGTCCACTTACCTTTGCTTGAGTCGAGATATGGTGTTTCAAGGCACAATCGCAGGGCCTCAGTCGGGTGCTTTTTGATCTTTTTGCCCAATGAGAACAATGCATGCTTTTGTAAGCACCTTCGGTGCGCATCGCTTTGAATCAGCTGAGTGTGCGAGTCCACAATGCATCGGTGTCTTCCTTTAAGACCTCTATGAATTCAGCGGGGTTTTTCCCCCAAAGACAGTTTAATGCATGGGTACATTCCAAACATGTCCAAACTAGATCTTCAGTCGCTAGTTCACCCGCAACACATTGGTTGCAGTGGCAAGCCTTCACTGCACCCGTCACCGTCGCCCTGATCGAACCAACTCGAAGTCTCCCAGATCTCTCCGTTGCCAGGTCTCAGTGGGCTCCTCGGAACGGTTGTCACGCGAGGGCGCCACCAAACTGTACACACCACCTGCTGCACTGGTGAAGAGCCATGCCACATCTGACGCCACTTTCCCTGTGCTGGCTGAGACGCCCTCGATCACCCCAGCCGCCGACGCCGCGCCGCCCGCCAGCTGGTTCACCCAGGGCGGCAAGGGCGCCACACCCAGGCGGCGACAGAGCTCATCGGAGAAGTGGTGACAATTCCGTGTGAGTACGTCGTAGGTCCGACCCTTCCACTCCGCGGTCATGTCTTTGAGCACTTCCGCCACCTGGCCCTGGGACAAGTTGGTGCAGCCCATGGACAAGGTCTCACGGAAGGTATGATCCGGATGATGGCCAGGCACGTTCGCAGCCACGCCTGTGGACCAGCTGTCCAGGGTCATTCCAAAGGACCACTCCATGCCATAGACCTCCACTCCTGAATGAAAGGCTCCATAGTCCCTCGCCAGCATGTTGGGCCAGCGGGTTAAGAAGGTCTTTCCCAAATCATAGACACGCACAAAGACTCGTTCTGCCTGAGGACGTCCTGGTAGGGTGGCGACCTTCAAAGAACGTGCCAGTGTAGGACTGGCTTCGTACTGGGGCGGACTGGGCGTTGGGATGGATGGATTGCAGCTTCTCACAGGCCGACCCGGCCGTCGCTTATTCCCCAGCTGTGCGATCGAAGCTTCTTCCTCATCTTGCGCCTCGACCAACCATCGGAACCAGCTCATGAGAATGGCCACTGAAAGCGCGAAAAAACCGAACGCCGGGCTCTGCTTAATAGCAAGGCTTTGGGTGGCAAGAGGTTACTATGCTGGGTTGGAAGCTGGTCGAGCTCTGTTCTGCTTCTTGCAGTTGAGTAAATTGTTTATGTTGTATATATAAGTCACGAAACCAGTTCCCAGCACTTGGTGAAGATGCACAACTAGCCCTTTTTGCACAAAATTGCATGTGAGGGTCTGAGCAGCTCGCACACTCATTTACACAAAAAGGTGACTCCTCTGTCAATACAACTATGACCTGCAAAAGGAAGATTCATTGAACTGGAGAGGTCTCCAAATGGATCGAAGCCAGCTTGACATTGCCAGATGCATGACGGGATTCGAAGTTCCATCTGTAATTTTGGTCTTTGCACGACAGTTGAAACATGAACACATTGCCATGAACCAAATCTTCGACTGGACTGCGCCTCGCGCTGCTCTTTGGCATTGCAAGGCGAGCTTTCCGTTGGGCCTGCAGGGCGTTGCTCACATCATCCTCTAGAGGAGTGGGATTGGGAGAGAACATGTAAACACGTGGTTTTCACATATCATTCAAGCATGACTTTATGTTTCATTGTCGTATCATTTGCATCACTAGGTCCATGAAAGGCAAACAAACGACTCCTCTCAACAGTCTATGTTTTAATATATATATATATGTATGGTTTATTTATTGCATCATTTGCATCAGCTGGTTGCAATTGAACGTTTATTGTGCAAAATGCCCGCAAATTAGAATGATTTCGACCTCCTGAAAAATGTACCAGTTCTCTTTATATGTATATAGAATGATTATAGCCACTTCTCCATATATTGTTCATCCACTTCATGCTGCGTCCATATCTAGATTTTGTGTCGAGCATGCACATTGTATCGTTTATTGTATATAGTCACTCTATCTTTCGACCCCCTTAAATTTGTACACTTTTCAGGCTGCCCAAATTACATTAATTTGCAAGCATTATCGGGTATAATCTGGACTGGACAGCCTGAAAAATGTACAATTTCAAGGATGTTGGAAAAATGTGTGTGTGAATTACACGCTGTGTAACATGCGGTTGAGATGAACCCCTTGCACCATCCGGAGAGGGTGGGCTCAAATGAGTGAAAACGGGCGACCCGGGCGTGGCAGCTTCGGCTGCCCTTCAATTCGATCGTGCGCCGTTCGAACCTTTGCTTTGGTTTACTTCGTGTTCTCCTGCAGCTTGGTTTGGCACCCCTGTCAGCGGACTTCGTTTGCCACTGGCATTTCTACATTGGTAGCGGAGCCCGAACCCGGTCTGGGTGAGGGCTCCCGCGCACTCTGCTACAACGACCTCGAGCTGACCGCTGGGACCAAGGTCTTCGTCACCTTCCCTTTGTGGGTTCCTTCCCGATCCTGTTTGCTGAGTTCTTTGTGGAACACCCTACGGGGAGGATCTTGGCATCCGCCACTTCGGCGCATGTCACAGAAGAAGGGACAACAGCGAGGAAGAGGACAAGCCGCACAACCCGGCTCCAGTTTGATGACATCCAAAGAGGAGAACAGCTATGCCGACTTACGGGACTCCTTCGTTCCACTGTTCTCGGGACAACCAGCTGACTACAAAGAATGGCGACAGCGCATCCAGCTCTACCATCGGAAGATGAGCATTTCCAAGAGAGCTCAAGAGAGCGTGCTGGACATCGTCGGCAGCTTCCGTGGTGCTGTCTGGCGCCTCTTTGAGGATTGGAGTGTGGAGCAACTCGAGAAGGAGGACGCTTTTGAGAAGATGCTGGTGATCCTCGATGGCAACTATGCCTACGATCAGCGTGTACAGCTGCCAACTGATTTTGAAGGCTACTTCAATTTGTTGCAGCGCCAACCTGGACAAACCCTGCTGATGTATGTGGGCGACTATGAGGAGTCATACCGCAAGCTCCTACAGCACAAGATCTCTCTTCCTGATCCCGTTAAGGATGGCACTTGCTTCGTCGTGCATCGCTCACCAAGGAGCAAAGACAACTCGTCATGCTGAAGGCTCCCTCCTTGGAGAAACAGGCCGTCATTGAAGCGCTCTACTTGATCCTTGGCCCAGATTATCAATCTGGTGGTTGGAACCATGACAGGAACAAGCGCTTCGGCAAATGGTCTGGTCGAGCCTATGCTGCACATGATGAGTGGGATTGGGAGGAGGAACCATGGCCAGAAGACACCGGCTACTATGAAGATGATTGGCCAGTTGAAGACTATGAAGAGGAGCCAGCCTTCGATGATGATGCTGGCTACTATGGTGAGGGTCCCTGGATGGCTGAAGACTCCAACGAAACAAGCCCTGAGCACCTGGCTGATGAGTTTGACACAGCCTTCGCAAGCTATACGGATGCTCGTAAGCGGTTCAACGACCTCAAAATGTCCAGAGGATTCCTTCTGGTGGTGGCCTTGGCCGATCAACAACACAGCCGACGACAGCTGCACCCGCCTCATCATCTTCGAGCTCAACTACCTGGCGAAAAGGGAAAGGGAAAGGAGGCAAGAACAAAGGAAAAGGGAGCAATACCATCCGGTATCCTCCTCAGGGTGCTGGAAAGTCAGATCCCAAAGGACGTGCCAAAGCAGCGATGACATGTCTACGCTGCGGTCAACAGGGACATTGGGCTGCAAACTGTCCTCAATCGGCCTCACCAAAGTCAAGTGGCCACAAACGACCAGCTCCAACTGAAAGCATGGCTCAGGCCCTCGACGACGAGGCATCCGAGCTCACGATGTTGACCTTCCAAGACAGCTCCGGCAATGAGCGACCGGATTGCGTCATGTTGGACCCTGGCGCCAGCGCCTTTCTCTCGGGCTACCAGCCTTTTGGCTTCCCCGTGGAGAAGATCTGCATGACTCAAGGTCGACGCCGGTTCCAATTTGGCGGCGACGCTGCATCGTGGTCCAGCTGGTCGGCACACCTGCCAGTGTTTGTGGATGGGCGCTATGGCACCATTCAGCTCTTCCTGTTGCCCGGCAATACTCCCATGCTTTGTGGCAGACCAATCATTGAGTCGCTTGGCATGACAATGGACTTCGCCATGAAGCGCATCCGCATTGGGAGCTCTGGCTGGACCGAAGCCACGATTGGCCGACAAGGGGAATATCTGTTGTCTCTCACCTCAGATCACGACTTCATTCACTACGACCCGGAGAGACCAGAGTTCACCTTGAGGACGGCTGAACCTGATATGGATCAGACTGACGGCTTCCACCTTGCCGACTTTGAACACTCCGAGCATGGCTTCGTGAGCCTTGACCACGTCAACGATGAGCCCAACGAAGGCATGCGACAGCTCAAGCGTCATGAACTCAAGACCATGGACGTGCAGCTGACCACCTATCTTCAAGAGATGTCTGCCTATGTGACCAATCAGCTTCATCAACCAAGCAAAACAGCAAGTCCTATGGGAAGTGTACTGTGGGACGGCTCGCACTGCTGAAGTGGCCGAATCACTGGGCATGACTGTTCGCAAGTTTGGTCCGGAGACAGGCTGGAACTTCGAACTTCTTCACCATCAACAAGCTTTCCTCGGCCTGCAGGACCAGGAAATGCCCGATGAAGTGCTTTTGGCACCTGAATGCAAGCTCTGGAGCCGCATGCAGACTTTAGCAAGACGCACCACAGCTCAACAACAGGCTCTCATGGCCGCCAGACAACATCATCATGATCGGCATCTTAAGTTCAGCCGCAAGGTCTACCTGAAGCAAGTTGATGGCGGACGCCATGCCCATTTGGAGCAACCAAAAGAAGCCCTGTCATGGAAGACTCAGGCGCTTCGTTCTCTGCCCGGTCGACGTGCCGACTTCGATCAATGTCGCTATGGGGCTACTGGATGATGATGGTCATTGGCGACCAGTCCGAAAGCGCACCTCACTGCAGGCGGCAGTACAAGATGCGATGACATTGCAATGTCAAGGAGATCATCAACACTGTGCCCTAGAAGGCTCTGCTCCTCGCTTCGGTGCTCGTACTCGCTACATGGAGGAGTACCAACCTGCGATGGCTAGCACACTGGCTGCTGCTTTGAGCTTGGATGAACCACCCCAAGTCTGGGAACATGTCTTCGCCACCGAGGAGCAGAAAGAAGTCACATCCAAGCTGGTTCAGTTGCGAGCAACTACCAAGCAGGACGCCATCCGTGTGGTTCAACGACTCCATCGCAATCTTGGTCACCCGGCACCTTCCGAGCTGACTGACCTTCTGGAAGCACGAGGAGCAAGTGAATCCATCTTGCAAGCCGCTCGTACCTATGTATGCACAGCCTGTGCCAAGTACAAGAAACCCGGCGGTACTGCACCTGCAGCGATGCCTTCCTCCACTTCGTTCAACCAGATCCTCCAGGCAGATGTTTTCTGGATTCGGCAAGATGGCATCAAACATCCAGTCATGACCATGATCGACCTGGCCACTCGCTATGTCTCTGCCTACCTGCTCAAGACCGAACAGACCGCCGACTATGTCAAGGCACATGGAGCGGTCATGGATTGCACACTTTGGTGCACCACAGCAGTTAATTTCCGATGAAGGCCGCCCTTGGCTCAGTCAGCACTTTGATGAATGGACGTCATCCCACGGTATTGAGCATGTAGTGGCTCCTGGTGAAGCACATGAACGTTTGGCAGTGGTTGAACGCCGACATGCAGCGCTGCGGAAAGCTGTTGAGGTCTATTGCGACAACCTGAAGGTGAAGGGCAAGTCCGGCATCCGAGAGGCACTCGTCCACTGCGTCCCACAGATGAATGCTGCACCTACGGTAGCTGGTTTCTCTCCATCGCAGTGGGTGCTCGGCTATCAGCCACAGCTTGGTGGCAGTCTTTTGTCCACGAGCTTCAAGCCTTCGCACTATGGTGGCCACGAAACCTTTGAGACGATGCTCAACCGGAGGTCTGCTGCCCATGCAGAAAGCGCTTGTTGAGGCTGATGCTGATCGTCGCCTTCGTCGGGCACTTGGAGCAAAGTACAAGGGTCTCAATGCTGAGTATGCCCTCGGCCAACAGGTTTGGTTTTGGCGAGATCAACGACAACCTGATTTGGTGAAGATTCGTTGGCTGGGACCA